GACTCCAAAGGAAACTTCCTGTGACTCTGGCTGCTCCGAGGTGCCATGTTCCCAGGATCCAGGTCAGGGAAATGGAGCTGTGGATTCTCTTTGTGTGGTGGGCGAACATTGGAAACTAGAACTTCAACAGCATGTAGAAGTGATCCCATGCAGACTTACAAGGCTATCCAACTGACCCAGTCTCTCATAAACTAATGGTCTTACAAAAAATACAATTGACATGGTCACATGATGTGTGGGCCCCAGTGCAAAATGAATTCAAAAATGGTAAGGATATTCAAGATAGTGATAGCAGAGCATTAAATCAAGGTGAGGGAGCCTTTCTCAGCGGGGGTTGAGCAGAGACCAGCCTTAACTTGATTGGCTTTGGTTTTGTTTGGGGGCCACATCCAGTGGTTCTCAGCATTTACTCCTGGCTCTGTACTCAGGAATCACTCTTGGTGGGCTTGGGAGACCCTATGAGATGCTGGGGAGCAAATCTGGGTCAGCCACATGCAAGGCAGGTGCCCTATTCACTGTCCTGTCACTCTGGCCCCCTAACCGTAACTTTCATCCCAGAAGATTGGGAGTCCCTCCCACCAGCCAAGAACAAATGAAGCTACTCAAGCTTCAGTTATCCCATACCCACCCTGTTCCTGACTCTGAGGCCAGAAAGCAGCAAAACTGGGCAGAAATGAGTAAGAACTAGAGTGTCCAAGAACTTGGCCTTGAATCCCTGCTCTGCCTCAATGTGCACCAGCGGTCAGGGCACGTAAGTCGCTAGGCCTTACAGCTTACAGTCAGTCAGCAAAGCACAGAGCGGAAATAAGAAAAATATAATCAGACCTGACAGAAATGAAGAATGAGGTATATGATATATATATATATATATATATATATATATAAACCTTACTAAAAAGGTCTGACCAGCAGAATAACACCAGTTGAGGAAAAGAACAGTACGTTCCAAGATGAGATGCCGGAACTCCCCACCCTACACACACACACACACACACACACACACACACACACACACACACAGTCTAAGAGAAGATGGGGAAAGGCCTGAAAAGAAATGAGCGTCACACCAGAGAACTCATGGAATGAGTTCAAGAGGAACAACGTAAGAATCTCAAAGTCTCCGAGGAACAGGAAGGCAAATTCAGTGAAGAACTATGACTTAAAGATATCACACATAAGAATTTCCCAGAGCTGAGAAGTTCAGGCACCGAGATCCAAGAGGCGCAAAGGGTTCCAGTGAAAATAGGCCCGAACACAAAAGCACCAAGACACAATGTACTCAGAATGACAAAGCCAGCAGAGACACAGATAGAATAATGGAAGCAGTAAGAGCTTTTAAAAAAAGGAACTTGCATATAAAGGAAAGTCCAAAAGATTCACAGAAGAGCCATCAAAAAAGACTCTAGGAGCCAGAGCAGAATGATGTTATATAATTTTAAAAAAAAAAACCTCAATGTGAACACCTCACCCAGAATACTCTATCTAGCAATATTATCTTTCAGATTTAAAGGAACAATAACAGAGCTTCACAGACAGGCAACAGCTTAGGGAATTCATACCCTTGAAACAAGTGCTGCAAGGAAGATTTTAAGGGGGAAAAAAAAGGTGGTGGGAAGAAGATTTAAAGGAGCTTCTTTAAAAGACAAGACAAAGCTCTAAGCACTTTGCCATGAGTATGACATTTAATCAAAGTACTATGAGTGTCCAAGAACTTGAGTGATTCCTGAGTACAGAGCTAGGAGTAACCCCTGTGTATCGCCAGGTGTGAGGCTAAAAATGAAAAATAAAGAAACATAGTAAGGGAACAACGAATGGAAAAGGCATCAGAACTGAACATTTTATCTACAAAATCAAGGTTGGAAGGGGAGATAGGGGATGGTTTTGAGGAACCCTTGTGATACTGGTGGAGGGAAGCAGATTCCCTGGTGATGGGTGTGGTGTTCCAACAATGCATGCATGAAAAGCACAATTCACAATATTATAAGTCACAATACCTCAACCAGTGGTAAAGGAAAAAGAACTGGAGCCAGAACAATCGCACAGCGGGTAGGGCGCTTGCCTTGCATGTGGCCAACCCAAGTCCAATCCCCAGCACCCCATATGGTCCCCAGAGCACCACCAGGAGTAATTCCTGAGCACAGAGCCAGAAGTAACCCCTGAGCATCACCGGGTATGACCCAAAAAAGCAAAAAAAAAAAAGAGACAGAGAAGAAAAATGACCCTGTGACTTGCCATTCTCATCTGTGAAATGGGCACAGGAAGATACACAGAGAAAAAAAACACAAAGATGCCCTCCTGGCCATGGGCCTGCCTACACACACAAACCCCATACTCACATGGGGTTCCTTTTTCACCAGGAAAAAAAACAGGATTCAGAAGGTGATGTGGCATGCCTAAGGTCATCTGGATCAAGACCAGTGCCCAGACCGTCTCCTTTCTGGGCATGTTCCTAAATCCCTTTTCGAAAACAAACAAACAAAAAGCTGGGGGGGAGGTGCAAAGAGAGAGTACAGGGGGTAGTGCGCCTGCCTTGCTGTCTACCCTGATTCAAATCTCCAGGAGCACAGAGGATCCTCTGAGTGAGCACTGTCTGGAGTGTCCCCTGAGCACAGAGCCAGTATGAGTCCCAAATCCCATCCCCACAAAGAAGGTGGCTGATCAGATCTGCATTCCCCACACACACTCTGGTGACCAATTCCGGTCAGCATCTGAGGGGTACACATGAGAGGACAGAAACCATCTCCTCCCCACTAGCTCAAAGCCTGGCTCACAGGGGCCTCCCCCAAATGCTGACCATTTGCCTGTCCATGGCATCACCCCTCCCTCCTACTCTGTCCCTGTTAGAGGCATGAAAGCAGCAACCCCAGCACCCCTCAGTCTGCCTCTCTGTGGCAATTCGCAAAGCCCAGTCCTGCCTCACCCACGGCCTACCAGGTAAACCGTTGGCAAACGGGTTCCACAGAATCCAGGGACACACGGCTCAGAGCCTGGGGCCCTGAGAGCTGTGCCAGTCTCAGGAAGTCTCCCGGGAAGCCCACCCCCACCTCCACGGACGAGCAGGCACACACCCGCCAGTCATCCTTCCAGAAGGCTCACAGGTTTCCAGCCACTTCCCCAACTCTCCCCAAGCCAGGCCGACGTGGCTTATAGGGAAGAAACGCCAGCACCCCCACACGCTCCTCACCCAGTCCCACCCAGCTCTGCTCAGGGGTACCTGGGGGCTCTTGGGGATGGGGTGGGATCCTGTCTGCACAGCTGCCCCTTCCCACCTCTGGGGCCTGGAGCTAGTTACCAGTTCTGCCTCAGTGTTTCCAAAGGGAAATGGGGACACTGGTGAGGTGAGGGCCAGGTGAAACTTAGACCATCAGAGGTAAACTGAGGCATAGTTCCCAGGTATATCAGAGCAGTGCTGGGTGAACCGGAATCACTGAAGGAAAAGCCTGTCATCACTTTTCTTTTTAATTCCCTAAGAACTTTTTTTTTAAGGCCAGTCCCTGGGCCATCTGGATTATAACTCCAGAAATAAAATCTTTTTACTTCCTTTTGGGGCCATTCCCGGCAATGCCTGGGTAAAACTCCAGCCAGGTGTTCAGAGGTGTTTTCCGGCAATAAAGGGGGTGGGGGCACATGAAACCAGGGATATTGCACCTGGAGCTCCCACGTGCAAAGCTTTGAGGTCCAACCCACGAGGCTATCTCCCTGACTGGTTCAGCTCCTAGAAGGGGAGATAAACAGGGGAAGCCGTAAGCAAGGGCCAGGCAATCAGGAGAGGCCAGAGCCCTTAGGGAGAGGCGGGGTAATGGGGCTTCCCCGGCAGGTACTGAAGCTCAGGTAAGGAGACTTGGGGCTTGGCAAAGCTGCAGGTGAGAGAAGGGACTGTCAGGGAGGGCGAGGGCTGGACCGTCACCCCGCAGCCCCACGTCCATGCGAAGAGGCTGCCAGGGCAGTGGGCTGGGTGAGACTGGCCAAGGACAAGAGTGGTCCCACTCATTACCTGTTGGTGTGATGATCCCACTCAGCCCTGCAGGGGGGTGGGGCATGGAGGGTGGAGACAGACAGGGTGGAGGCAGGCCAGTGAAAAGTCTCCTGCAACTAACTGGTCATCCCCCCGACCCTAATACCCGAGGTTCTTCCTGCCCACTCTGCATTTCACCCTGACCCACTAAGCTGTGCATCTTTTCCAGCTGGCTGGCCAGCAGCCCCTGCAAAGGAAGTTATCCCCAAATCCTGCTGAGCAAGCCCTCTGCCTCTGCCCACACGACACGGAGAAGCTGGTGTCCCCCAAGGAAGTGTCTCACTGAGTTGGGGGGCGGGGAGAGGGAGGTGGGGTGCAGTGAGAAAGGGACCCTAGAAGTTTCCCAAAACCAGGTTCTGTTTTTTGTGAAACCGGAAAGTCCCTGCCTGAGCGCATCACACGTACAGTGCTGGCGTTTATTCGTTTTGAAACGCCTTGAGAGACAGCGGATGCCACTTCTCTATCTTACAGATGAGAAACCAAGACCTGAAAGTTTACAATGAAGGTCAAGGAGCCAGTCTGGGACTGGACCAGAACCGGGCCGACACCCTGGCCTTGGCCTTGGGCAGCCGCGTCTTGCCTCCAAGCTCTGTGCTCCTCCGGTGCAGGGTCGGCTACCTAGCGGGGGAAGTGGGGGCAAGAGGGGATGCCCGGAAATCCCCCGCCGAACCCTCGGGCGCGGCCCCCACGAGGGCCCCAGCACGAACGGAGAAGCCCCCCCCCCCCCCCCGCAAAACACTGGGATCCACCCAGACATGCCCACCGCGGGGAGCCCCTGACCCGGGGCCCGGGTCCAGAGAGCGGCCCCCGGAACCGCGCAGCCGCCGAAGCCCGCGCACGGACACGCGGGTGCGGCCACGCGCGCGGACTCGCGGACGCGTGGACACGGGCACGGACACCCGGGCGCGCGCCTCGGGCCAGCGCACGGACACGCGGACGCGCGCACGGACACCCGGCCGCGCGCCCCGGGCCCGCGCACACTCAC